TTAAATAATGTATGTGAGGTCTCCATGTCAGCTTGTCATCCATGATGACACCCAGAAATTTCTCCTCTCTGACTCTACAGATCTACTTTAAAAGAGAAATCAACAGTTGTCTTCCTGTTACTAAATATCATGTAATTTGTTTTATCCAAATTTAATAATAATTTGTTTTGTTGAAGCCGAATTTGTATTTTCTCAAATTCTTTCTGTACCATCTCAAACATTTTTTCTTTATCTTTACCTAAACAAACAAATATTGTATCGTCAGCAAATAAAACACATTTGAAAAGTCCTGACACATTTACTAAGTCATTTACATATAAAATAAATAACTTAGGTCCCAGTACAGAGCCCTGAGGAACTCCACATGTGATATTACCAAGTTTAGATCTTTACACCATTTATCTGTACAAACTGTTTCCTATCTTTCAAATAACTAGATACCCATTGTAGTGCAGATCCTCTAATACCATGTTTACTTCATTTTTCAAGAAGAATACTGTGATCAATTGTGTCGAATACTTTCTTTAAATCTACATAAATACTAACACAATACTGTTTTTGATCGTTGTTATTTGTTCCATGAATTCCATAAGAGCCATTTTGTGGAATTTTTAGCTCTAAACCCAAACTGACTTCTACTTAAGATATTGTTCTTTTTGATAAATTGATCCAATCTGGTGATAAATAATTTCTGTAAATTTTAGAAAACTGTGGTAACAAGGATATTGGGCTGTAATGTTTGAACAAATGTTTTTCACCATTTTTAAATGGAGGAATTACCTTGCCAGTTTTCATATTGTCAGGAAATATACCAGTTGAGAAGGGCCCATAGAGTTTAAACATTTAAAAACCATCAATAAAACCTTAAATTTTACACGGAAGACAACAGGGAGCCAATGAAGGCTGCACAAAATGGGGCTAATAGATTCACGCTTCCTTGCTTTTGTCAACAAACGGGCTGCACCCTCTGCAATCACTGTAAAGAACTCTGACCCAGCCCTAAATACAAATAATTACAATAGTCTAAACGTGAAGTAATAAATGCATGAATACCTCTCTCAAAGTCAGTCGAAGGGAGATAAGGTTTTATCTTAGCAAGTGTCCTCAACTGAAAGAAACTGGCTTTGATAACGGTGCTAATTGTTTTTCAAAAATAAACAGAGGATCCACCATCAAACCTAGATTTTTCACAAAAGGACGACAAAATGAGGACAGAGGCCCAATCACACTGTCATGCCCAGGCAGGGGATTACATTGACCAAACACCAGAATCTCAGTTTTGTCCTTATTTAGATTTAGGAAATTAGCTCTCAACCATGCCTGTACATCCCTAAGRCAAGCATTCTCTCATCACGTCTGGTCTGTCTGGTCTCGATCCTCCTTCTGGTTTTTGGTTTTTTGTCTCCTGCCTCGCCCCTTCTTGGTAGTTTATCGGACTCTGATCTCCTGGTTCTGACCCTCGCCTCCTCTTCCATATTTTTGCCTTCTGTCCTGGCCCTTGTTGGACTCGTCCAGCCATCTGCCTTCCGGTTCCAGACCTCAGCCTCCGTACCACGATGAAGAGATAAGTCCACTCCTTTAAATCTAAGTCTGCCTTTCGGATCCATGTGTATGACCCTCGCCTGTGCTACGGAATCTCCTGCGGTAAACAAACACCTCCCTTGTCCGCAACACGGAAGTCGTTGCAAAACTATCAATCTTCCCCGCCTTGCTACGTCACTCAAGAGCTCCTCTCGGAATCCCAACACTTTGAAACGGTTAGTGACTTTGTTTCACTCATCATCTGGTTCTCTGCCCATCCAAGCCACTGACTTTATTCTCTGTTGTTTAGAGCTCCTGATCCCAGTGAAACTTGGATCCAGAACCAGCTTCCTGTTTTTAAATAAAAACCTTAAAACTGCTCTGGTGTGTGGCAAATCAGTGAAACTCATTTACCAAGTCTTAACAAATATGAGTAAGTGTCTGCAGGTACATTTATTCTAAATCATTTCATTTCACTGCATTAACAACCAATATGACCAGATGAGACATTATTTAGGCCTGGAAC